AATCACAGATCCTTCAGCAAATCACAGATCCGTCACGTTAATACTGTTAATCCACTTTTTGCAATTTTCGATGACTGAAGCGTCGCACTGAACTATCGACCTGGCAAGATTGTTAGCAAGCCCTCTAATGCTCGGAGTCTGGTGCCATGAGGGCAGTTCGAGCAGCTTGTTTAGGGTGGTGGAAGAACGATGTTGCATGCGACAGACACTACAGTGTGCAATGGCTCACATGCACTAATTTAAAAAATAGCGTCGTCATCGAGCTGCGCAGCATCCGCGTCCAGCCCTTCACATAGCGAGCTCAAACGTTGCAGATTCAGTGCAGAGCTGACGTCAAGTCGCTTCACTAGGCAAGAACTTTTACGGCACACTGCATTGTGTGCAGCAAGGATATCGGTAGCAAAGGATCGGGAACTCCATTTTTCATGGTACAGTACTTTCGTGCCTGTTGCAGTCCGAAACAAAAAGTCCTTGGCACATATCTGTAGAAATCAAAACGAGTGCGTTTGGTTGAGATTAGAGCTCGGTTCTAACTTTGCCTGAACCAACATGGCCAGGTGCGCACCACAACGCCCTCGTCGTACCCTAGGACGCCGTGTAAGTGTCCTGCCGTGGGGCTCACTCAAGAAGGGCTTTTGGGCCGCCAAATCCATCCCCACTTGCGACATATCCATAGTGACGGAAGTCTGGATATGACAGGGCAAAAATATTAAGCTTCGACCTGATCTACTTGCGGAATTTGAAAAACAACTGGCGCAATTGGTGTGGTTTCATTGGCTAACAATGCACAAACGGCTCTAGATAATGATTGCGAAAGATTGAGGTGAAACATCGAGATAATTGTTGAGATGGAGGAACACAGAAAATGACAATTTCCGATTTGCCTTCACATTGCAACCAAATCGTGCTCAGTTTGGGTGTTTCGCTTTTGGTTCCTTCTGCAGTGCATTAAGCGTGGTGTCATGGGTCATGGTGCCCAACTGGACGGAGTGCGGTCAGATCGCTGCGTGGGTTTCCATGGACAAATTGGTACAATTCGTGGTCGTTAGTCTCGGCTGATCGCGTGAGGCTGTAAAAAGCTACCTGAACAACCCTGGAATGTATGGCAAGCGCTACCATGGTGGAAATGCAAAAATTGCTGGACAGCCGTGACCATCGACGTTTGTTTTGTGAGGCCTCAACGACTGGTGTTTCAGCTTCTACACTAGTGAATCGCCTGGATTTGCCTGTGACACCCCGCTGGGTTTGTGCTGTGTTGTCCGCCAACAAAACCTTTGATTATGTCAAGCGGAATACCACCCCCAAGTTGAAACCGGCGCATATCAAGACTCGCCTGGACTACGCATCGAAACACCTCGAGTTACCTCGAGATCGGGCGAACATTATATGGTCGGACGAGAAAAAGTGCAACCTCAATGGTCCTGATGGTTTGCAATACTCTTGGCATGATCTTCGCTCTCAACCACAAACATGTTTATGTGACAATTTAGTGGAAAAAGTGTCATGATTTGGTGTGGTACTCATCGCGAGGATATGTGAGTTAGCTATTTTGTCTGGAAATCAAAACTCCGACAAATACATTTGGACGTTGTAAGACCATTTGTTCCCCATTTGCCCATGTATATTGTGGTGATGAGTTCACATTTATGCGAGGTGGTGCAGAGATTCATCGGTCAAAAGCAACTCTCGAGTTTTTGGAAGAAGAAAATGTCAGCCATTTTGACCATCCACTTTTGTCGCCTGACCTAAATCCTATTGAAAACCTCTGGGCTGTGGTTGTGAGTGACGTTTACGCCAATGGCCGCCAATTCGGTATCGTCGAAGAACTAGTTTGTCCCATAAAGCAATCGTGGGCCCAAATCGACCTTTCGACTATCCATGGTCTCATCGCGTCAATGCCCAAGCGTTGCTTTACCGTCGTGGCTTCCAAGGGCGCAATGACGAAATATTAGTTTGAGATATCCTCTATAATGTCTTAAATAGACTTGAATTTGTCGTCATGTAATCACCTGACTTCCTCTTGGGAATATTCCGAATGCATGCAGTGCAGTGTCAGGGATTTTATCATTCAGCCCGAATGAAGTCGAGCCTCGTATAAGAAGCCCTACGGCTTTCATATGAATGAACTTTGGGCAGAGACTAAGCAAGTACACACGCGAACCATGCAATTCGTGGTGGTGTCATAACGTGACTTCCGCCACTATAACACTGTTAACTTGTGAGGTCGTCATTCTTAGTCAGGAATGTCAGAATCGTCTTGCTAGTACATACGTGGCTCACACGTCTACTCAGAAGACAGTAGGCCCACACGCCCCAGGGCGAGATTGTGGGCTCAAGGGAGGATGGAGGGTTAAGCGGAGGAAACATGCGTCCATAGCGCCTCGCGAATATAATCTCGACTCAGATTGCAGAGTTTCTGCGTGGCACTATCTGAATTTGGTCAACAATTATTCCTGATCGCCAGGTATGCATACGACCGTACGATGCGGGGCACATCGTCAATTTCCATTGCACACCCACAGAATGAAGTATGCCCTTGTCACTGCAACCGTCCTTGCCGTCTATGCGACCGACGAGGGCCACAACTTCCTTGTATTATCCGCCATCGCGGGTCAACTGCCCATCGTACTTCACGCTCGTGCCCCCGATTGGAGCGACTACGGTATCGACGGCGGCAATTTACATGGTGTGTGTGGGGTGCATCTTCGCAAGCGTCCCCCGCGACCATGACACGAGTGCACGTTGCTACCCGCGGCACCAACCGGATGGGGCGTGCAACACATATGCCGGGTGTAGGGTAGTTGATAACGAAGAGGACGTGATCCGATTGGCATCTTGAAGAAGTACTAACTAAAGGTCGCTATGCAATATTCGAGTTCAAATGCAGAGCGGCCAAATGCTGAAGGAACTTCTCAACGCTGAAATCCCTGGGTCATTGATGGCCTATGCGTCAATCGTGGGTGTCGAGTGTGCGGCTAGCGGCCGTCTCATGCTGGTAACGCACACTCGACGTCGCGGCATCATTACT